CTTATTAAAGTTAGATAAGGTTATACTACTATATATATCTATATAGATAGTTAGTATTTAAGATTAAATAAAATATTAACCTTATATCTAGGAGAGTATTTTATCTATTAACTTCTAGAGATCTATAGCATAGTAGAATGCGTTAAGCATACTGTTAGTATAGGTTAGAGATCTCTCTACTAGTATAGTATCTTATTTATTTATTAATATCGCTAGAATATGCAACTTAATCTTAGCTATACTAAAATCTATAGAATATAGAAGATAGTTCTAACCTAAGCATAAGCTAAGCATTCTATCTATAAGAACTAGGGCCTAGTAAGTTACTACCTAGGTTTTAATATAACGCAGTAATAGATAGCCTAATATAACCTACCTATTATAGTTATAACTAGTATAAAGGCCTATAGAGCTGCCTACTATTATTATAATGCCTTCTTATATTAGTATAGTACCTTTAAATATAATTTTAGGTATATACTATAAAATACCTATATACTATTCTTATATCTATAGCTATACTAATAATAGGCTAGAAGATATGCTAATTATACTACCTTAATAGAGGGTTTTTATAAAGCTAAGTCTATAATAAGTTAAGTAGCCTCTATATATACTAAGTTACTATAGTTAACCTAGTCCTTATAATTTAGATAGCTAATTCTATATATATTATAAGTTAGGGAGAGTATAGACTAAATTACTACTCTTCTAGTAATATCCTCTATACTAGGAGAGTAGGCGTCTATAAAAGAGTTTATACTATATTCTAGCAGAATTAGGATATATAAGTTTTACTATTCTATAAAGAGGTTAAGATAATAGTATATCTCCTCTGCATCTAGAAGCATATATAGTATAGCTAGCGTTTCTATAATATTAATCTGTTAGTATAGCGCTAAAGGCAGCCTAGCGCCTATAGCTAAGCTAGTTAGGCCTCTATACTCTAATTTACTATATTTACTAATTATAAGGCTAAAACTTAGACTGCCTAGAATAACTCTAGACTATTATAGAGTTATTAATAAGAGTAAGCTTATTATATGCGCTAATTATATTACTATAGATACTATATCTTTAATATTATATTCGCGATACTAATATCTCTTTAGCAATTTAGCTAGCCTTCTTAGTTATAAGTAAGTATTAAACTTTTATTATATATTTACTTACCTATGCTAATTTATCTCTAAGTTATACTAATATAGTAGTTTCCTACTCTAATAAACTAAGCATAGAGATTAGCTATTGTACTATTTAATACTTAGCTAAATAGCATACCTTAAGATAAAATAATAGTAGAGCAGCTATATAGAACAAACCTTATACTTTTATCTATAGTATAAAGTATATATATATAATATACGTGCTAAATAGTAGCTTATATCTACTTCTAGATTTAATATATTTATTTATTAAATAAAGTTTATTATAACAAACTAGAAAACTTATAGAAGATATATAAAGCCTTATAATAGTATAGAGGATAGTTATTATTAGGCCGATAATAAATAAAAGTAGAACTCCGCAATAAGATAAGATAAGATAAGATAAGATATAATAAGATAAGAGATTTTGCTCTATCTAGTATATAAATATTTATATATAATAACTAACGCATGCTATATATATAATAATAGACTGTTTTTCTACGCATAACTCTATATAGAATCTGCTATAACACTGCTTATAAATATAAGATAATATTAGCTATTAAATATAAAAGATATAAAGTAAAATATATTAATATAGAGTTACTATTAAGAGTTATTCTTCCTATATAAATCTAGTATATTGCTCTTTTAGGAGCGCCTTAGTTAAAAAGATAATTAATATTCTTAAGTAACTTATTAGCAGTCTCTAGCATAAAGAAATAGCATATAACTCTAATAAAGAAGCTTAACCTACTAAATATAAAGAGAGCATTAAATCTAATTAAGGCGAATAGATATAGGCTAATTATATTATAAATAAATAATCCTATACTAAATTCTATAATACTAAATATACTACCTTTAGCATATAACTATATAATAAAGATCTTGTTTAGATATATAAATAGAGCGCCTACTTTTATAGAAATTAGCGCATAGAATTATAACACTAGGAAGAGGGATAAAAACTTATACTATATTAACCTATACTATACTAACTATAATAATACTAGAGCTACTATTACTATACTAAATTGCTTTGCCTTAGTAGGATTAGAGTCTATATATTTGTTTATAAAGTATCTACTTATACTAATAAAATATAGCATAACTAATCCTATAAAGGCGCCTATAACTATAGCTAGCTATCTTTCTATCTTATCTAATAGTAATGCACCTAGAAGACTAAAGAGGACCTATACTAAGATTCTAACTCCTGCAAGAAGCGAGGTAATATCTCCTAACTACCTACCTAATATAAATATCTAGTTACTATAGGTTATAATAAGACCTATACTAATATAGAACTAGTTTAAAAATTAAATAAATAGAGCTGTCTATATGCAGCGTGTTATAGAGTAGCAATTATAAGCAAATAGCATTTCTAAATAGCTAGATAAGGTACTATTCTACCTTTCTTCTATTAATGCTTATTATATTGCTATAACTTTATCTTTAATATTCTTATTATACTATAAGGTATTAAAGCTATTATCCTTTATAAGATTACTTAGTATATTCTGCGCTTCTTTAAAAAGACCTACCTAGACTAACTAATAAGGGGATTCTAGTAGAAGGAAGAAAGCAGTTATAATTATAAGGATAAAGACTATCTAAAAAGTAATAGTAAACCTCTATATAAACTTACTACTATACTATCTAGTTAAACTATAGGATATAAAGAAAGCCTAACTAGCACTATATGCTGCAGCACTTATAGCTAATCCTATTGCTAGCCCTTATTAATATAACTTTATAGTCTCTATAGTCTAGTTAAGTCCTATAGTATTAAAAGTGCTAATATATAGTCCTAAATATATTTAACCTATTAAGGCCTATATAAATATTTATAGTATAGTAAAGATAATAAGAATAATAAGGGCGATAATAGTAGAGCTAATAATTGCTTTATGCCTTTCTACCTTGTCTAAATAGGAGCTAATAATTAGACTACTAATAATAACCCCTAGGTAGTAAGTAGCGTTAATAGTACTAATAAGCAGCTATAAATATTAAGTACTACTATCTAAGCTAATAATATAAAGGTAACTAGGCAGCATTAAAATAGATTCTATTAAAGTATAATCTATATATATAAGTTAGTATTTATATACTTAGAATTTTATATAGGTTTATCTTACTATATTCTAAGAGTATTATAACGTAATAGCTATATATTATAACCTTATAGCGTATAGTAGCTAGGGATAGGATATAAAGATAGTTCTAGGGATAGGGTCTAGGAATAAAGCAAGTCTATTATAGCTGTGCTAAGCATTCTAGATTAATTACTTCTCTAATATTAACTCTAGGTCCTAGTAACTATATTATTACCTTTTCTATAATATTACTTATAATTGTGCTTACCTTATAGTAATTAAGTATATAAGAGTTTAATAATAGAGAATATCTATATTAGGTAAGATATATACTACTACTATATACTTCTATAATTAATTAGCTAGTAATAATTAATTTAATAAGTCTATACTATAGTTATTATTATGCATTACTATTATAAAAAGATAGTATTATAGTTATATAGTAGTATAGGTATATAGTAGTATAGTAGTAGTAATATAGTAGTATAGAAACGCTAGATTAATATAAGATAATTAGTCTGCTAGTGCACTATAGTTTACTATACTATAGGGATTAGATAGGGGCACCCTAAAGTCGCATAAGCAGAACTATATATATAGCAAATCTAAATCTACTATATATAGGTACGATTTTAATATATAATATTAATAGAAGATATATAAAATTATATTATTATACTACTATAGTTAAGTTTTATTATTCTTATTTACCTTTCTTTAATACTATATTAATATAGTCTATATATTCTATCTTGTTAGACTTTTTATATATTAAGATATTAAATAAATCTATTAGAAAAGATCTAGTAGAGCTAGTAAAGGTCGCAGTTATTTAAGCTAAGCCCTCTTAGTATACCTATATTACTATAAGATATTAGAAGTTTAAGAATATTAACTAAGAGATATAGGTTTAATATTAAAGCTACTATTAAGCATACCTGCAAGTTAATTGCAGAAGCTAGAGGGAGCAGGGCTAAGTTAATTGCATTTCCTAAGCTTTAGATTCTAGGCTATCTAATATATATCTTTGCATATAATAAGAAAGCTGCGTCTAGGTATACCTTGCAATATTATTAGAACTCTATTAAGGTAGACTTAAACTATATATTCCGAATCTAAAACGCAGCTTATGCAGCAAATATTATAGTTATACTTTACTATTCTAAGCAAGACTAAGAGAGTCTATATATGTCTTAAACCTTTATTAATACTAGTAGCGCAATTCTACTATATTAGCGAAAATTAAAGCCTATAGGATATAAGAGGACTGTCTTTAGCAATAGAGTATGTCTAACATTAGAGAAAATTATAAAATGCTAACAATGTTGTTTTATAGTTAGGCAACTATAGTTGCAACGTTATATAGACGACCTTAGGTCGCATTGGAGCGCTTTAGTGTTTCGAGCATCTATAGCCCTTCTTAAAGTATAACACTTTCTTCTAAGGTGAATAAATCTATATAGCGTCTTGGCTATGTCTATTCCCTGTGATTAGAGACATGCCTTTCTTTAATTCTGTCAAGTCTTGTTAAATGGCGTCGCATGTATACGCAGTCAAAGGGGGTATATTTATGCTTCTACCTTCTTAAGTGCAGACTAAGAAAGGTCTGAAAGCTAATAGGCTTAGGTCTAAAGCAGCTCCTGAGGATGTTGATGCGCTACATACCGCCGTTATCGGTGGTGGATTTTTAGTCGTTATTAGACCCAATAGAAGGGGTTTAACAAAGCCTATAGACCCGAAGTAGCAGGGTCTGTTATACCACGAGCTTGACTTTAACAACATCTATGTTGCTAAGCAAACAGTCAATTGTGTCAGACACTATTCACGGCCAGACATATTCAGCTTGCAGGTGAACAGCAAAGTGAACCAAGCCGTTGTTGGTACTACATTAGAAGCACCATTCCTACACAAGACAAGATTTCCAGCCCTAGATGAGGAACCTTAAGCAAATACATTATAGAATAAATAGTGTGTAGATACAGCAATTAGAAAGATTGGCTTACGGTCTGAAGCCATAAGACACATCGATTCCCCACATACACTACGTTTATCCTATCTCTAGACCTTTGATAAATCCAGGTACTAACTATTCTACCGGCACAAGTATCACGCCAAGCTTGACACTGATTGGCAAGTACGTATCCGGGCAAAGAACAATATGGTTACCAAAGTGTCTGTATTCCGTTTCCTTTGGAAGTCATTCGCACCATTGTAGCTGAAGTTGTTCAGCTCAGTCACCTGCATCTTAGGATACATTGGCGGATATTGTACTAAGATGGGAAACTGTCGCAGGCCGAGCGCTGTCGTGAACCTAAACTGTGTTACTAATTGTGCCGCGCAAGGGCCTAGATATAAGCTGAGCTATGATGCTAAAACAGTACATGAACATACACACTCTTCTTGAGATTCTACATCTGCAACCCCCGCACCCAACCGTGCGACACCGGGCGTTCGGTGTCCGTGCACAGTATGACTCCAGGCTAACAACTATTTTCTGTTGGCAGCATTTCGGAGAGCCAAGATACATCGGGAAATAGTCCGAAGCTCGCTGCCCCATGCCAAAAAGTGTTGTGCTCTCGAGAGGTAGCATCACCGCCTGAACTTTTGGAAACCTACACGATCAAACTGTTTCTCCACAAGGTCATTGCTGGAGTGGGTCGGTCGCCCTCCTCATTAAGGGTGGCGGTAGTCACTGCGACGTCACATTCGTTAACGTCCCGTATTACTTGCTTGTAAGCCTGCTCACAGGGCAAGGGCGCTTCGCATTCGTGCGGCCTTTGGTACCGCTACCTCAAGTAAAGGGAATGTCTAGTGAGTTGCGCAGAGCTGCGACATTTAGTTTTTAGTTTCGCAGCAAATAGATTAGGGAAAAAAGAGCGTCAAGGACCACTCCGTTTGATCATACAGTACAGATCAACATTCAACTGGGAAATAAGCCCAAAGAAACTGGCGTCGGTTTTACCTAGTCTTCTTAGATTTTGTTCAAGAGCGAGACCACCAGGTACTTATCGATATCCAGATCGACGTATCCCCTGGCTGCCCACTTCCTTAGGGCAATAAATAACATCCGCCTATTTATGCTGGTGTCGCTAAGGAGGCGCAGTAGTGCCTGCCCTGCATCTTCTGCTGCGGCTATGTGCACGCCGGCGCCCTTAACATAATTAAACGTCTCCTTTATAAGAATGTTGGTGCAAACATACCTATATCTAAATTAGAACATAGCTCCTAAACTATGCAAGAGTAGTAATATACTAAGGTAAAAACACGTTTACCTAACTACTATAAAAACTAGCAGTCTGTTATAAAGAATGTATTATACTGCGTATACCCTATTTTAAGCATAAATACTATAGCCTGCAAGGGCAATTAAGGAATGCAGCCCTAGAACTAATAAGAATAAGGCAAGTGTTAACCTATTTAGGCAAAGAGGTAGTACTGTTAAGCTTAATAAAGTAGTGCATAGCAAGCTTAGTAGTGTATAGAATACCTATAATATTTATATATATAATGTTTAATTTAGGCTCTATTAGTACTAAGTCTAGCCCTAGTGCTATATTAGCCTTATTTAGATAGTAAAGATTAGACTAACTATTAAATAAGAAGATATTATTCTAAGTAGCAATACTAGTATTTGCAATAATATAATAGATCTGCCTAAACGCATATTCTGCTTACTAGAATAGACGCAATTAGTCTTGCTACTTTATAATATTAGTTTAAATATATTTAGTACTATATTATAGTTAGCAAAGGTATATAATATACTATATAATCTCCTATCCTAACAGCTCTAATATAAGCTTCTTACTATTTTTAAAGTTTAAGTTACTAATAATAACGTTAGCTCTATATAATAAGTTATTTATAGTACTACTTTGCCTAAGAGTTATTCTATGCCTACTTTATAGTATATAATGCTTAGATATATACTTTACTAAGCCTACTAGCACCTTTTATAGGTAAATTAGAACTATATTAAAGTTATAATCTTAATATTATTCTACTCTTATCTTCTATAATAATAGCAGTCTTCTCTGCAATATTGCCTAGGTTAAGGTTAATCTTATAGTTTATAGGCTTTTCTAGTATAAAGCTAGGCATCTTTATTAGTATAGAATAATCTAGCTATAAATATAGTACTATTTTATCTAAGCTTGCCTATCTATCTAGTAACTTATATAGTTATAAAACTACTATAGCGCTAAGTTCTAAAGTAAGTAAATTAGTAGTAGCTATTATTATTTTACTTCTAAGGTATATAGGTTACTAATACTAATTTCTAGTATAGTATTATATTATTTGTTATAGAATAGTATTAAAGTAGACCTAGTAGCAATTAACCTGCTTATAGATATGCTAATATAACTATCTAATATGCGCTAATATAGAAGTTAGTAGAATATTAGTAGCTTATATATAATTACTTGCTCTTAAGCTTTAGCTTTCTAATAATCTTACTATATTAGCTTATTAAGTAGATAGTCTTGCAGCTAAGAAATTATAAAATAGAGTAAGCTTAAGTTTTAAGAACTATAAGGCAGTAGTATAGGTTATTAGGAACTATATACTCTACTTTAAAACCACTATTTATTCTTATAAGATAGGCATATAGGAAAAGAATATAATTACTAAATATTACTATATATATAACTAATTAAGGCAGTAATTTAATGCTAAGAGGGGACCCTCTACCTAGCTATATTTAACTTTTAAATGCTAAGATGCATATAGAAGAATTTAGTAATTCTACCCTATAGAATAAGATCTATATAATTATAGAGGTTAATATACCTAGCACTTAGAATCTATAAGAGCTCTTTTAGTTTAGTAGTAAGTTTATAAGCATTCTTGCTAAATTTATAAGAGTAGGCCTAGTTACCTAAGATAAAAAGTAAAGGATATAGTAAAATATCTTTAATATTATTAAATAGATAGAAATTTACTAGCATTATACTGCTTAAGATTACTATGCTAGTTATAATATTTAGGAATAATCCTAGGGGCATATACTTGCTATATAAAGTATAATAAAAGTTATAAAACTTATAGTTAATAGCTATTAACTTATTTATAATAGCAAGCAGTATGCCTAGACTATATTTAGTTTTGCTACCTGCTATTTTAATCTAGTATTATTCTGCTGCTACAGTAATTATAGCCTTATACTATTTAGTACTCTTTAAATTATTTATGCTATTATAAAAGGCAGAACCTATATTATATATGCTTAAGGTTATAATAGCTTTTATATATAGATTAATCTTTGCAGCACTAATAATATAGGAACTACTACTATAAATGCTAAGCCTACTAATATGCTTATAATTAATAAAATCTAGCAGGCTAAGATAGTCTATTACTATACTAAAAGCTTCTGCATAGAGCTCTAGAGCTACTGCCTAATATAGTTCTCTCTTGCTCCTACTAAAGTAAGAATAATCTAGGATAATAGTAATAAAACCCTGCTTAGCTAACTTAGTAGCATATAGGTTTGCACTCTATTCTTTTACTACTTCTGCAGGATAGCTAAGAATAATAGCTAAGTAATTAATGCTAAGATTATTAGGAGTAAAAAGATTGCCTATAACTAAAGTGTTAAATAAGGTGCAGAATATAATTAGTTAGATTGTTATATTATTGCTATAGTAGAAATTATTAGCTCTAAACAACATGTTCTAAGCAGTTGCTAAAGCTCTAAACATAGTTATTATTATACCTATCTAGGTAATAGCTTGTAAAGTAGCCTTTATATTTCTAAAACTAGTTGCATAGCATGCTTGAAACATAGGCTAACAAAGAGATCTAGGTGTTGGTGCTGCTGCTTACTAGCGGCACATTGTCTATCTTATAGCTGATAAAATAACAAGATGCTGCAATGCCCTAGCTTGCGTCAAGGCTTAGCTACACTCGGAGATAGAAAACGACTGACTCGCAAACACTGTCCTCACTAGAGTGCGCGCCTTAGCAGGTGTCATCTACCTGCGTCTCGGAACCCCGGGCAGAGTTCGGAAATTGGCGAAGAACTGACACGGTGACCACTGACAGCTGCGCACAATTGTCTGAAGAACAACGGAGTATTGTGGTATCCGTGAAATGTGGTGTTGCTGGATGAGAGGGCCTAAGCGACTAGCTGAGCGCGTGCAAGTGTTCGGCTATGCTGAGACTCTTTTGAACAGGCTGGGTTCATTAAGTTACGCTGGTACATGCCCTGTATCTTGATGGCATCGTTCAATGTCTGCGTCGACACTACTTTGGCTGGACACTACAGACGTCACTGATGCAAGCCGCTGACAGCCAGGTGATTTAGGCAGTGTGGAGACGGCACAGCTTAACGAATCAGGAACCTAGAGGCCCACTTCGTTTTCTCAGCATTCGACTTCGAGCTGGCATCACATTGCAATCGAACGTGCAAGATACAATGCTAAAGTGTCCAGTGTAGGCTTTCTGAGTAGAAAGCAGGGTTGAGGAGTGCAGACTAGAGATTCCTCTATAATTATTCATACTGTTGATCATCAAAACTTAACGCTGTAGAGCTATACAGCAGGAGTATTACGGGGAAGCGACGATGCAGTCTCCTAAGGCCCTCCGAGAGGTACGCGCTGTAGCGGCTGTTGCCCAACAAGAAAAGAGGTAAAATGAGGGAGAAACAGAGTGTACGTCGTGCTGTAGGTGCTCGTAGTCGTCCAAAGTCGAGCCTCCTTTACTAAGTTGCACTCACACCACCTACTCGCGGCCGCACCGCCACTCTATCTGTTTGATTGTATATAGAAGATTTGTTGCATCAATTTATGAAGCAATTTTTCAAACTTTCTCTAAATATCATACAGCCTCAGATTTGTGATTGCCGTAAAGGCGGTGGAGAGGCGTGCATTGGTTGAATCCGTGCATTGGGTGCACGGACATGATTCGGTAATCGGCCAGACTCGATCCGCTACCTACCGTACGGGTTAGCGGCTGTTGCGTTGCTGTCATGCAGGCTGCTGACCGGCGCCAAGGTATTCCCTTGAACGTCATTACCAGTGACTCCTCAAACACTTCCAGTGTCAGTCATGAGGCTCATTTAGCAACTGCGGGGGTGTTCATTTACATTACGCATCCTAGTGCCGTTGTCGCACACCGATTCACTGCATGTCAGCAGTCTGCATATTTCTGCTATATCCGTTTTCGACCCAACCCGGGCAAGCCACAACGTCAGTAGATCGCCCATCAAACTCCCAATTGAGAGCCCCGCGCAGCGCATCAAATTCAACTGGTTGTCTCAGCATCTTGCTTTACGTGAAAGCAGAGAAAATTTGGACAGGTATCTCCAGTGCGACACAAATTCCTGTAGGGGGGGGGGGTGGCTCGACAAAGGCTCCGATTGCCGTGGCTTCTGCGGATTCCTGACGTCTCAGGGCCTTCCCCCTGTCAACGTAACTGGTGATTTTGGCAGTCCTGCGAAGTTTTGATCTCCAAGGACTAAGAGGCTGTACGGCACTTGCGTCGAAGCGACCACGGCCTCAAGAACGCATGGCGTCAAAGCCCGAAGTATAGGCTCTAATGAATCGTTTCGCGGAACATGCATATATCAGCTACATGCAAGGGATCCGATAGTGGCGTACCTACCAGTTCTTATCAAGTACAACGTAGCCACTGCATTGGCGGCAAATGCTGCACTCTTAGGTGTCACCGAAGACTTCTACAGGTGGGAGGGGACATCTCTCAAGAACGAGCAAGGCCTATCGTTGGGCTTAACCTCCTACGATCATTTTGCAGATTGGCCGGCAACGCTACAACCCACTGAAATACAGCTTAATGAAGCAGCACCCCCGGATCGACTGCTTTCTATGGCCACGATTCCGAGAAAACGTGCTCAGTGCCTTCGAGCATCCTGAGATGTGCAATGAAGATGAGCTTGTCGCGATATCTTTAAGAGGTCTAATGCTTACCATATACGTAATCACTGCTTTAAACCAGTAGCGTGAAACCAGAGGCGAAGACAGCAGTCCAGTGAATGATCATTAACGTAAAGCACCACCGAGCCGGACACACCACCGAGCCGGACACTTTTTCTTGGCACTGCAACTTTCTTGTACAATGCAACATGCAAGAACAACGCAAGCAGGTATTAACTCAGCAAGAAGGTAGGGTTATTCTTGCACTTCAGGCCTACACATCAGGACAATTTAAGAGCGTACAAGCTGCTGCAGCAGCCTTTAACGTACCTTTCCAGCGGGTGTCTAATCAGCTCCACAAAATCACATTTCAACAAGAAGCAGCCCCTAACAGCCGGAAGCTCTCTGCAGCAGAAGAGCAAACAATCATACAATATATCCTTGACCTAGATTCGCGTGGATTTGCCCCCTAGCTCTGTGAGGTAGCAGATATTGCAGACAAACTATTAGCTGTCCGTAGTAGGACACTTATTGGCAAGAACTAGGCTAAGCGATTTGTATTGCGTACAGCAGAGCTTAAGATAGCTTTTAACTAAGCAAAAGACCGTCAGAGATCACTGCAGGAAGATCCAGAGGTTGTTAGCGCGTAGTTCAAGCTCATACAAGACACAAAGAACAAGTATAGGGTCCTAGATAATAACATCTATAACTTTAATAAGACCAGCTTCCAGATAGGAGTAATTAGCTCAATAAAGGTTATTATAGGCTCAGAGAGACGTACAAGGCCAAATCTTATCTAGCCAGGTAATTAGGAGTAGGTTACAGTTATCTAGAGCATCTGCGCTGCTAGGCATGCTATCCCACCCTTTATTATCTATAAAGGCATTGTGCACATCTTAGCCTAGTATAAGGAGACTAATATACCATACAACTAGAAGCTCTCTGTCTCTAAGAACAGATAGACGAACAACGCGCTTAGTCTTAAGTAGTTAAAGCATTTTAACGCGCATACAAGAGCGCGTTAGAAGGGGTTATATAGGCTGCTTATCTTAGACAGCCATAAGAGCCACCTTAACCAGGATTTTAAGGACTACTGCGTAGAGAACAAGATCCTAACCCTCTATATGCCTGCCCACTCATCGCACATACTTTAGCCACTTAATGTAGTGTGTTTCTTACTATTAAAACTAAAGTACTCCCAACGCGTACGAGCCTTAGCATCCTAACGCGTCTTCCACATCAACAAAGAAGGCTTCCTTCCAGCCTTTAGAGACGCGTTTTTTAACGTGTTCACGTACAAGAACTGCAAGAAAGCCTTTAAGGCATCAGGGCTAGTCCCCGTCAATGCGCAGGCAGTCCTTAATCGGCTTGAGGTGCAATTTCATACCCCTCCACCAGTACCTCTACTAGAAACACCATAGCAGTCTCAAACACCAAGCAATTCGTACGAGTTTAGCTCTCAGGCAAGACTTGTAGGTAATGCTATCGTACAGTCACCAGAAGAAGCTAGAGTAGGGTACTCACGGCTTGTGAAAGGTGCTGAAGAAATGCTCCACCAGAATGTGCTACAAGCTGCTCGCATCCACGAGCTTGAAGAGCAATTAGCAGAGATAACTAAGCGCAAGACTCGGAAAAGAAAGCGGATCCAGCATAGGGGTACAATGGAGTATGGCGAAGCAGCACTGTCAGTAGCTAAAAGCGCAGCTGCAGCTCGTACAGTGTCAAAGAAAGCGCGTAGTAGTAGTGGTTAAGAAAGAGCACAGCCAGGTCAACGGCACTGTGGCAACTGTAGGAAGACTAGGCACAACGCTCGTACGTGCCAGAAAGATGCAGAAGAAGATTCTGCATCTGATGCAAGTGCATCGTACGCAGGATCTGCAGAGGGTAGTAAGTAATTGCTTGTCTTGTACGTGGTGTTCGCAATGCCAAGGAAAAGTGTCCGGCTCGGTGGTGCTTTACCGTGCCGGACGGTCATGTGCCTCGGACGGCTACATGCCCGATTTGCCCCACCAAAACTACTACAAAGACGAGGCTGTAGAACCGCACTAAATAGCTATTGTTGCGGGATATTCTGGTGTTGCGATCTAGAAATAGTATTGCGATATTCTGTCTACTTATATTTGGCTGGCAACTTAATATCGCGCCCACGTCGCGATCGAATCGGTGGTGGGCTTGTTGGGCGAGTCGAGGGCTGCGCACCACCACCACGATCACTAACGATAGTTTTTTTTGGTGTAGGCTTTGTACGAGCTTCAATCTTCTTCTTCTTACCCTTTTGAGAGGATTTGGTAGCTTGTTGAAGTCGTTTCGCTGCTTTGCGGGCTGCTTGACGAGCTGCTCGCTCAGCGGCTTCATCAGCCCTCTGCCTTTCCCTCAGCAGCCTCGCCTCCGCTCGCGCCTGACGCCTCGCATTGATCTCGCGCGCTTTGATCAGCTTTGACTCCTCCCGAGCTTGGATCGCGACAGCTTTTTGTTGCTGCAATAGCTCCAGGTCGCGCTTCTTCTGCTCGTGGAGGCAGCGAGCTTCTCGCACCTTCCGCGGCGACCAGAAATCAGCTCCACCATGATAATCTTCAGGTCGCTCAAGTGCTCCAGGCTGGGATCGCTGCTTCCGCTGTCGCTCATTGATCAGAGCTTCTCGCAGCTTCTCATTCTCGCGCTGAATAAGCTTCGATTGGGTAGATAGCTTCATGATAGTTCGACTAAGCTGCGACATCTTCCTACTCTCTTTGTCGTTGACGGCGCGGTCAATTAGCTGCCTAATCTTTCTCCAGTCAGAAGCGCTGAGGTTAGACGAGTCGCTATCACTTTCAGCAGCTATAGTTCTGAACTTTTGGAGTATTACTTCTGGATTGAATGGCGATAGGCCTGTGACTTCAAAGGCCCGGAGGATCGAAGATTCCTTGAAGGAGGCCTCCCATGCTCTCCAGAACAGCGGGAAGAAGTGGCTTTTAGTAACAGGTAGCAGACCATAGCACTGATCCATGAAACTCGATAGCTCATTTGAGTACGCAGTCGATAGAGGCTTGAACAGGGCAACGTCGAGAGGCTGCAAAGTATGGGTCGCGTGAGGCGGAAATATCGCTAGTAGAATCTTATTCCAATCGCAGTAGTCGATAAAATCCATCGTGAGGTGAGATTGATGGCCATCCGTGAACAACAATTGGTAAGACGATCGAGCTTTTGCTTTGGTGGCAGGATCAAACACCTGTTTAAGCCACTGAAGCCTGATATCGTTGTTCGATTAGCTAGAGGGAGATGAGATTATCCGGGCGCGATGGATGTTTGGATTAAAGCCTTGCAACCACGAGTTCTGGATTAATCCTCATTAACCTTGGTAGATAAGGCTTAGATTAAGATGAGATCTATTAGCGCAAATGCAAGCAATTAGGGTTATCTAGTCTTAGTTGCTGTCTTAGATCAAAGACCTTCTGATTCCAGATTCTAGAGAGGCTTGAGAAAAGATCCTCTTTAATCGCGATTGGACTCTGATTATGAAGCCCTTCTCATCCATGTTGTAGATATAGCGTGGCTCGACTTGATATTGATCAAGTTTATCGCGCAGAAGCTCGAAGTAGAGCTTGTACTTGAGTTCTGAATCGGCTCTGTGGCGATTGCGATCTATCGTGGTGACCAATTTTGGTCTAAGAAGATCGGGATAGCGCTGAACAAAGCGATCAACCCAGTGGTAACCAAGCTCTTTCTGGGCAAGCTGTGAGGCAAGTCTTCGTACGATATCTCTATTTGGCGGTAACCCTTGCTTGCTGATCCGATCGATACATTGTATAAGCTCGATCTCCTGTTGTGGGTGGAGAGCTCGCCGGTTCTCATGGTAGGCCGCACGCGAGGTGGTGAGACCTTGGTGCCGCCGCCTAAGCGTTGTAGGCTCAACACCATACTTTTTCGCAATTTGAGCGTAGACGAGTTTTTCTCCTGGTCCTAAAGCATCAATAGCTGCAAGTGCGGCGTCGATAGGCTCCATTCGGGGTGGTCGCGGCGTGGCAAAGTCGGTGGTGGTAATGATGGTTGGTGGGGCAAATCGGGCATGTAGCCGTCCGAGGCACATGACCGTCCGGCACGGTACAGTGTCCGTGCACCTCGTGCACGGTTTCATGTTGTGCACGCGAAAACCACCTTTGGCAACCACCAAAATGAAGTTATAGAGCCACACACAAAAGCTATTACATAGAGAATTTTTGTTGTAACAGTCTACTAACTCCTGCGATGCTTGCCCTGCTCCCACTATTTGTTTGGGCGCGTGGTGCGGCCGCTGCGTGTAGTAATTGGTGGAGGTGTCGGGGAAGGTGACGCCTCAACCACAACCTGTGTAGCACCACGCACACGCTGTTTTTTAGCTGCAGGTTCTGTAGGTACCTTTTGTGAGGCCTTACGCTTGCCTGTTTGGGATAATTGGATAGATTTGGCATCGTCTCTCTCTTGTTTTCTTCGTTGTTTCTCAGCTTTCTTGGCAGCCTCCCTGAGGGCTTTCTCTTCCTTCATCCTCGCTCACTCCACCTTCTGCTGCTCCTTCTCTTGCTCTGCCTGAAGCCTCTTCTCGGCTGCGTCTGCCTTACTGCGAGCCTTTGCAGCAGCTTCCTCAGCTTGTTGGCGAGCATTTTGACGCAGCTGAGCTTTGGCTTCATCCACCTTTGTTGGAGACCACAACATCGCGTTAGAAGTATAGGACTTGGAGGCCTGTAGCGGTAGGGCTTGGCGGTACCTCCGGGAGGTCTTCCGTGTGTCAATTTGGTTGCGTAGGCCTTCATTTTCTACCTCCAGAAGGGAGTTGCGAGCCGCTAAGTAGTTCAACGTGCGAACCAGCTTCCTTGCCTTATAACTTGTATGGTAATTTCAAAAACCGAGTTGTCGCTGTGTGTGGTGTCTTGTGGTAAACAGGTGGGTGGATGCTGTTTCAGACCAGAGGATTGTCAAACGTGGAACCAAGAACGCCTTCCACAGGTGACTGCAACAGCAAAAGATGAGCCTACACATATCATCCTATTCTGAACAACTCCACCAAGCTAGATTCGATTAATCGTGTTGTCAATTTACTTTTATGACAGATGCGAACGGCAGGCGTTGGCGCACGGTGGGGTGCGCACAGGCCAAGCCTGATTAAGGACAAGCTTCTTCGTAGTTAGGTCGCTTGACTCGACAGGAGCGCCGACGTTCTTCCACGCCAACCTCCTTGGTCTGCGCGTTGTCGTGCGGTTCCGCCTCGTCTCGAACATGAACTCAACATCGCACTCCAATCTCGGTCGCTCATAATTATCACAGCCCATACGGTCTTAAAGAGGATCTGCATCTGCAGAATGTCCTCGCGTTAAACCACTTCCTCCTACGCGTCTGCGCGCAATGGCATCTCTACCTCGTTCGGAAATACTCGAATCTAAGCCGATAGGAGATGGGTTGAGTGCCTTCTGCGACTCTCACAAGCCAGAATGTGAACTTTTTGTCGGTGAAGGTAGTAATAACCACCATTAACCAGAACTGTCTAATGCAAGCAGAGCTCAACAATGTTCTACTCGATCTCACACATGCTCTACAAGGTCTTCCCGCTTCTCGCCATCTACCATCCTGCCGTGGCGGTAAGAATCTCCTAGACGACTTGTCGCAACTCATGACAGCAGTCAACGCCGATGACTTTGATGCCGAACGATTAGTACCCCTTCTTCAGGCGGTTCTTCGCAGAGAACGCGACGAAGTTATCTGGAACAAGGTCTACGCCGCCGTTGCTGCGTCCACTCCGCCTCCCCGCACCGCGTCTTCGATTCAACAAACACCGTGGCTGCGCAGCACAGGCAGCTTCGCGAACTCGACCGAGCACCGCAAGTACGTCGACGACGTGCTCAAGGAGGAGCTGGGGCACATGTACGTTGGCGTACCTGGTTTCTTCGACGCCTTCTTCGGGGAGGTCGCAGATCTCGGATCAGCAGCACAGGCTGTGTTCGACAAGTGCAAAGAGGGAGACACACCGCTTTTCCAGGAAGAGACTGGTTGGCAGGGCTGGCCTGAAGGGGCGAGGGAGGGAGAGGTGTTAAGCTGGTTTTCACCGCTTACAGAGCAGCTCTTGGACTTCGCAGAAGAGCATCGGCCGGGGCCCAGAGTTCGACGCAGAACCGTAGCGCGACCTCACCAGCCCTTGCAGGGTTTCACGGCCGATCGCAAGCTGGACATCGGCTTCGTAGACAACGAGAGCGCTGGCGTCAACTCCAAGTATCACTGGTCACGCATCCTCGTGCCGGGAGAGCTCAAGAGCAACGCGTTGGCCGACAAGGCGTCGAAGGCGTGGCTTGACCTGGACCGGTATGCGAGGGAGGTGCTTGCTGCTCAAGACAGCCGCCGCTTTGTGTTTGGCTTCACGCTGTGTGGATCGCTCATGCGGCTGTGGAGCTTCGATCGACTGGGGGGCATCGCGTCCGAGCAGTTCGACGTCAACGAGGACGGGCTGCAGTTTGTGTCTGCAGTCCTTGGGTTTCCTGGATGAGCGAGGAGCAGCTGGGCTTTGACCCTACAATCACCACAGCCAGGGACAAGGACTACTGGGCAGCCGGCTTCACAAAGGGATGGAAGCAGCAGTCTTAGCAGGCAGAAACAGTCCTTGAGCTGCACAGATGCTCTACTGCCACTAAGCAAGCGCACTTGCTTAAGCTCCCTAATAAAAGCAGCTATTATAAACTGCGTCTATTACTGCGTTATTATGCATAACTATAGAAAGCCTATCTATATAGTAAGCTCTAAAACTAGTCTGCTTATAGCGCTTTAAATACTATATAGAAGGGTATAAGTTATTATATATATAAGTAAGTATGCTTTAATATAATATCTTACTAAATAACCTACTAGTAAACAAAGATAAGAATAACTTATTATAGCCTATATTTCTAATTAACTTTAACCTTATAATTAAGAAGTAGTATAAGCAAGCTTAGAAGCGCGTAGGAAGACTAGCATATAAGCTTTTATAGCTATTAGAGTGCTTATAGATAATAAGTAGCACTTATTTATATATAATTTTAAGTTATTCTTCTAGGTACTCTTTTAGATCTATATTTACTATAATAGATAGTAGGAAAGAATTATTCTATAATTTAATAAATAGAACTATCTTAATACTAAAGAACTAGCTAATTTAAAAAAATAAGTTATAGTTAATAAGTAAGACTTTCTTAAGATAGTGTAGATAACTTTTATACTATACTACTAACTATTAATACCTTATATTAATAGGCTTTAAAGAAAAGTATTTCCTAATAGTAAGAGATAGAAGGATTCTAGCCTATAGCTATACTTTAATATAAAGAAAATTCTCTATATAGCTTAGAATAAGCTAGAAGAATTAGAAGAATAAAACTATATTAGTCTTCTTCTAGTAGTATAAAAGCTATATTAGAGTTAGATATAAAGCATATACTAACTTAGCTAGTATCTAGCTTATTACTAAGTATATAATAGAGCTTAAATATTAAGTCTTAGTAGGTATAGTTTATTCTTAATAGTAAATAGTATTATACTATATAGCTATAGCTATATATTACTGCTCTACTAAAAGTATATTAACTAAGCTACTTTTTATATGCTTAATATAATATATATAGCTATATAAATTAAAGAAGTGCTAGTTATAGTACTATACTATATATATATATAATTTATTTATACCTAGTAGCTAAGCTAAAAGGGCTACTAATACTAATCTACTACTATACTACTTATACTACCTTATAGCCTTACTAGCCCTTATACCTTCTATAACCTACTTCTCTATATAGCTTATTATTATACTAGAGCCCTTACTTAATCTCTATATTACTTTTACTCTATCTATTATCTCTTATTAGGTACTTATTAGTTAGTATTATTAGTTATAGACTAGCTTAGAGTTAGTTTCTCTAAGAGATTCTCTAAGTATTTAGCATCTTATCTTTAGTAGCTAAAGTATTATCTGCACTATAATTATATAGGTAATTAATAAGTTTATATTATTAGTTAAGAGTTATCTACCTATTAGATATTAGTTAGTATCTAGTCTTTCTATTACCTATATAAACTATATTATTACTTATACTATATCTATATTTAGCTTCTAATTTATATTATCTATTACTACTTTACTATCTAGATAAAGTAATATATTTCCTCTACCTATCTATATATACTATAGTATCTCTATATACTATACTATCTACTATCTATATTAGAATAAAAAGTACTCTACTATTTCTATTACCTATCTATACTTATATTATTCTATATTATAAGCTTTAATCTAGTAGAGATATATATTTAGCTATACTATACCTATTCTAAGCTATATAAGGATACTACTCTCCTTTTATAATAGCTAGTTATATAGTAGTTATATATACTTCTCTAGTAGTACTATATTAATTTACTTAGAATAGCTTCTTACTTTCTCTAGTACCTTTCTAATATTGCCTTGCCTATATATAATATTATATATAGTTAATTATATTCTTAAAAGCTATATCTATAGTATAGTATTTAGTCTTATTAATATCTTTATCTCCTACTTAGTAAGGTATATAAGCTTATACTCTTTACTTATAGGTAGCTATAGCACTATTACTATATCATTATCTCTTCTTAGTATCTATATAGTCTTATAGAAGTAGCTAATATAGCTTTAGCTTAATTACTACTAAGATCTTTATAGTATAAGTATAGCTGCTTTATTTCTTATTATTAGTATAATATTATAAAACCTAAGCTTTAGTAGCTAACTTAGCGCTTTAGCTATAGCTACTAGCTCTACTAAGTATAGGTTCTACTTCTCTCTCTTACCTAGTATTATAGAGAATACTTATATTTTATTATTCTATATCTTAATTATACCTCCTATTCTAACTACTCTATTATATAATAAGCTACTAACTATAATATATACTACCTAGTTAGCCTTAAGCCTCTATGCTATATTCTTAGTTACTACCTATACTCTCTTCTCTTATAGTACTAGAGTATATAGCTAGATTATCTCTATCTACTCTATTTCTATATTTTTAAGCACTTCTACTACCTAGTAGAGTAGTAAGTAATACTATTACCTAAACTTATATATATATAATATATTTCTTTATAGTAGGTTAGTATTAGGTAATATATAGATATTAGTTTATAGCTTAACTACTTACTTCTAGAATTATTATTATATGCTTAGGATATATACTTCTACTTTTACTACCTAAGTTACTACTATAATAAAGGTGCCTATAATTACTTATACTCTTATCCTCTATACCTTATTAATAGGCCTTATAAGCTTATTCTTATAAGTATATATCTATATATTTAATATATAGTTTATTATTAGTATAACTATTACTATAAAGAGCTAATATGCTACTATAGGTAAAAGCTCTCTTAGATTTCTTAGCTCTAGTGCTACTTCTAGCCTCTTTATAGCTACTCTTATAATATACTTATAGTACTTAAGCTTAGTATTTATAAGTATACTAAGTATCTTAATATAATTCTTAGGCACTATACTCTATCTCTTAATAAAAAAGAGGTCTATACTACTCTTATATACTTTATAAGTAAAGTAGATAATAGCTATCTTTTCTACTTTAAATATTACCTTACTTCTCTATTTCTAGTTAAGTATATTTCTAATAATAGCTTTAATACTCTCTCTATTACTTTATACTATTAGTCTTATAACCTATATAGTAAAGTTATCTATAAAGGTAATTATACTACTATATATATTAATATATTATTATACTAGGTTAACGTACCTTACGGGCTAATAGATCACACAGGTTAATAGATTACTTTTGCCAAGACTATACTAAAACACTATCACTATCTAAATGCCCCCCTACTAACCTTAATTAGACGCGTTAAAAGAACGTTAGATACAGCTTGCGCTTTAGGCTATTAAACAAGCCGCGAAAATCTCACAGCGACGCGCTGCAGCTATCTATAACGTGCCCTAAAGTACCCTAAGCTAGCAATGCGCTAGACAGTCCTTATAAGCTAATTCTATAGCCAATTAACAGAATCTAAACAAGTATAAGGAGGAGGCAATTATTAATTATATTCTTAACCTTATTAACTAAGGAAGTCCTCCCTGCCTCTTAGATGTGGCTGCAATAGCTAATTTACTGCAAGAAGAGCATAGAATGCCCTATATTAGGCAGAACTAGCCTAAAATGTTTGTTAACCGTTAACTAAGGCTTAGAGTAAGGTTTAGTTGCAAGTATAACTATAAGAGAGCCCTCTATAAGGATTTAGAGGTTATATAGGCCTAGTTTAACCTAGTAGCTAATACTAAAGCTAAGTATAGTATACTAGATAATAACACGTATAACTTTAACAAGACTAGCTTTATAATAGGCTAGATAACCCCTAGAGCAGTTGTTATAGATATAGAGAAGCTAGGACAAGCTAAGCAAGTCTAGCTAGGCAACTAAGAGTAGGCAACAGTTATCTAGGGCATTAATGCTACAGAGTAGGCTATTCTAGCCTTTATTATCTTCAAGGCACGCAACTACCTATTAAGCTAGACTAAGGATTAAACTCTGCTGCTAGACTAGGTTATTAGAGTCTCTAAAAACAGCTAGACTACAAATTAGCTTAGTTCTAACTAGCTAAGGTACTTTAATGCGCATATAAAGAAGCGCACTATAGAGACCTACCGTCTGCTTATAGTAGACGGCCACAAAAGCTACCTATTACTAGATTTCTACTAATACTGCAAGGCTAACTAGATTATATCTCTATATATGCCTACTTACTTATCGCACCTCCTCTAGCCTCTTAATATAGGTTGTTTTAGCCCTTTAAAGCAGGTGTATAGGCGCTAAGCTAAAGGGCTTATACATAACTAGATTAACTACATTATAAAGCATAAGTTCCTGCCATGCTTTAAAGAGGCCTATAATAAAGCTATTACCTCTAGCAACATCTAAGGAGGATTCTAAGGGGCTGGACTAGTCCCTTTTAACCTATAACGGGTTATTTTAACCCTTAATATAAAGCTGCGGACTCTATTACCCTAACTACCTACTAATAATAAGCTATAGCAATCCTAAACCCCTAAAAACCTAATTAAATTTAAGTTGCAATTAACTCTAATTCAAGACAAGTATAAGAGGCAGCAGGGCAGCTTACTAAATTCTGTTTATAGCGCGCTTAAGCACTATGCAAAGGGGGGAGCAAAGGTAGCATATAAGCTAGCTTTGCTTAAGAAAGAGCGCACTAAGCTTTAGGTAGCTCTAGTAGCTGCAATAGAACGCAAATTATATAAAAGAAGGCGGATTTAGCAGGAAGGGACCCTTATAATTAAGGAATCCTAGCGTGTAGCTACCCTAAAGGAGTTCAGCGCTTATAGTAATAGTAAGAAGCTAAAGAAGAGGGTGCGCGCTAAAGGAGGCGAACTATCCTAACGACAGTATAGAACGTGCGGAGAGACAGGGTACAACGCGCGAACGTGCAAGAATAATGTAGATATAGTCTCTAAGTAATAACATAGGTTGTTTTACCTTATACTAGCCTATAGTAGGCGGATGCAGGCTAAAGTAGGGTGTAATAGGGGAGGGTCTTAGCAAAAGTAATCTATTAACCTGTATAATTTATTAGCCTATAAGGTACGTTAGTATTAAAAAAGAAGAAAAGGATAGAAAATAGTAGTAATCCTTATAGCAGACCTGCCTAAGGTAGCTCTTAAACCTTAGATACTTATCTATTAACCTAGATTAATATAGTGCGCTATAAGTAAAACGCTTTAACCTACTATAGTAGCGTCTCTAGTATGCCTCTTACCTATATTCTTTATAGTAGTCTTTTCTTATATACTCTATTATATACTCTCTTAATATTAAAGCTAATTAAG